TTAAGAGTAGCTTCACTCAACTTCTCGCTGAAATATGCAATTGGTCTCTTCTCTTGCATCAATACCGCGCCAGTTCCCAATCCTAATGCATCACACGCCACTTCAAAGGTCTTATTAAAATTGGGTAGCATCAGAACAGGAGCATGAGTAAGTGACAGAAGGGGATCAAGAGCTTTGTTACAGATCACCTTTCACGACTGTAAGCCCCTCCGATGATCAACTTTGTGGAATAGATCGTCGACTCCTTCCCGGATGAGCGACTGCTGGCATTGTGTCTGGTATAGAGTGTCACCCCTTGGTACTCTGACTTTGCAATTTATCTGGGGCAAGCATTTACCTAAAGGGATGACCACTTAAAGAGAGAAAGGAAATACAAACTAAGAAGAGGAGAAATGCTTGGAATCATCACTTTACTCCTTGAATTACACCTTCTCATAGATCCATGGATTGATTTGACCATTACCAAGCTCTCTCAAGGTGTTCATCTCTCTAAAAACTACCCAAGAATCCTAATTTCTCCCTCTAGGTCGGATCTCCTTTGTCAAGTGCAAAAAGGGGCTATTTATACAAAATTTACAGCAGATTATGGCTTCTCGATGATCACTGGCATGTCACGGCCTTGGCATGGCTGTGACTAGGCCTTGATAGGCCTAAACACGTCAATTGCCTGAAACTTTGAGTCTTGCCATCATCTTCAAGTGCAAAGATAGCGACCTCCGCCGTGAGATCACACCAGTAATATTTATGATACGGCTACGATCTTTTTCACTGTCGAAAAGCCAATTGGTCGCAAGTCTGGTGTCAAGATGTTCTGCCTCATTTGTTTGCTGAAGTTCGTGACTACTGCTCACGGCCGCAAACATGATCACAACCCAGATAAAGGTCGTGATATGGTCGTTACCTATGCATTTCCTTCCCTTCTTGCTCATATTCAATGCAAACATGCCCGGATGAACTCCAAATCGATTCTTGATCGATTGTAAATGAATACAAGACCTGAAATTCCATGAAAAAACAAAAAAAACATAAAATACATTAAAGTGGGGTTGATTTTCCCATGAAAACCTTCATATCAACCTAACCTATGCCAAAATGGGTGTTTCACGAATATAAACGAATATAGGCCGAAACTTGCTTGAAATGTGAACTAGACACAGTGATTTAGCTTGCAAAGGCCTCGAGAATGAGGGCTAAGTAACACCAATTTTAGGTGTTATCAACCTCTAAATCATTAATGATACACAACAAGAGATGTCTTACTTCTAAGAAACCTATGAGGAGCGGCTGTTTGATTAATCAACTAAGGCATTGAAAAGAATTGGAAAAGAAATTAAACCGCCTCCATACCCTGATGATACCACGAGAAGAACAAGAAGAACCATACCCAAAGAGGCTAAGGAAGAACAAGAAGACGGATGAAAATCTTGCTAAGGAAGTTCATGGAAATGCTAAACAAACTCCATGTGGAAATGCCCTCAATAGGCGTAATTGGAAGAATCCTGGAGTATTCTAAACATATGGAGGACTTCCTAACTCATAAGAAGGAATGGTAAGGTGCAACATCCGCCAGCCTCAGCGAACACTACTCTATCGTAGTTTCACAAGTCACAACATACTCCGCCAAATAAACTAAGGGATCCAGGAAGTTTTACTTTGCCTTACACAATAGACATAATGAACTTTAATGATTCCCTAACTGAATTAGGAGTTAGTATCAATGTGATGCATGTGTCTTTAAACATCTCAAGACAAAGAAACCACTAGAAACTACTCGAATGACCATTCAACTAGCAGATAAAACTTCTAGAAATCCTAAGGGAGTATATGATGATGCTTTAGTTGAAGTTGGACATTTTGACTTCCCTATTGACTTTGTTATAATGGATATTGACGATCATGACTCTACTTTACTTCCAGGTAGACCTTTCTTGGCGATAGCAAGGGCTCTGATAGACGTGCACAACCAAAACCTGACACTTAGAATAGGAACAGAGGCCACCACCTTTTACATAGAACGAAGCACAAGCATAGGTGCTCAACCTGGGATGAAGAGGATGAAGAGGACTTTCAAGGAGTAGATGACCTCAAACCAGTGTTCTCCATCGATGATTTAAAGACTGATGACAGGAATGATGCTTACTACAAGGAGAAGGAGAATACTCCCCAAGTACTAGATTATCCCACACATGAAGCAGGTGAGCTAGAAGGACAAGATGCATTCCTAGTCGGTGAAAAGAAGTTACCCGTCATTATCAATTCAACCCTATCCCAGGTGTAGAAGAACCAAATGATTAAGCTATTTAAGGAACACCATAATCTACTAATTGAAGAGAACCATAAGCCAGTAGTATAACCTCAATGAAGATTGAATCCCCATCTTAAAGAAGTCGTGAAGAAGGAAGTAATCAAGCTACTTCAAACATGAATCATCTACCCCATCTTCGCAAGCAAATAGGTTAGCCCTACTCAAGTGGTGCCAAAGAAGGGAGGAATGATAGTCTTACCTAATGACAATGGTGATCTGCTTCCTCAAAGAAAAGTAACTAGATGGGGAGTGTGCATAGATTATCGGAAGCTTAATGACACTACAAGGAAGGATCACTTACCTCTACCATTCATCAATCAAATGCTAGAGAAATTAGCTGGAAATGACTTATATTGCTTCATTGATGAATGTCTGGTTACTTTCAAATACCCATTGCTCCTCGAGATCAATAGAAACAACTTTCACATGCCCTATTCAACCTTTGCCTATCGAATAATCCCTTTTGATGTATGTAATGCCCTGCTACTTTCCAAAGATGCATGATAGCCATCTTTGATGGTTACCTTGATGACATAGTGGAGGTATTCATGGATAATTTCACTATATATGGGGACTCATTCAAGCACGGCCTAAGAAACTCAAGAAAGTGTTAATCTAAAGTGAAGAAACAATGAACCTACAAGTTCACTGCTCATCTTACTTTGAATCAATTAACCTAGGAATTTCATGTGATCTAGGGAGACTAATGTAGTGACTATGAATTATATAAGTAGTGTTTGCTTGGGGACAAACACAGTTCAAGTGTGAGATATTTATGATGACACTCAAAGTATATTGTTTATCACTCTCATAATTGATACATTTTCTGCTTCTATCAAAATGTACTAAAGATGCTCCCTACTCCCCCTAGTAAACCCATGCTGCCCTGAACTGTCCATCATCATTGTTGCCCATCTTTTGGAGATTCGGTTCAGTCCGACCAGATTCGATTCAGGTTCGCCTTGCCTAGATTCGAACGACTCCACTCGGACCGGTCGGGTTAGGTCGATCTCCCAAGTAAGGTTTGGATAGGAGAACCAACCCGATCCAGCCCCTGACAGTCTCGAGTCAGCCCAGATGCCTCCGTGCCCCGTCAAACTCAGCTCATCTTCTCGCCCCGGGACTATGTCGGTATAACTCGGGTAGTCTATCATTCTAGTCCACCCTCCGCGTTTGCCCATTGGCCAAGGCTCACCTTCATAGCCCGCCTGCTTTCTTCTATCCGTGAAACTCCGAGATGTCCGAGGTCGTCGGGATAGGTAACAGACCCGCCCGTTGAACCTCGGGCCTGCCCAGTTCGCAGCATCGAGGCTTAGCTCCGCACCGCCTCCTCTCGATCCTCTCGCCGCCGAGGCCGCCATCTTTTCGGCCCCGATGAGCCTTAGCGCAATGTCACATTTGCCCGAGCCACCCTCCGTCGAGGCCATAGCCTCAGCTACAGAAACTGCGGCAGCCTCCTTTGTCGCCTCTTAGTCCAGCGGTGACTCCTCACTGACCCGAGCCAGCTGCTCCGGTGCTTCCTTCGCCACCACCAACCCTTGTCGCAGCTTCTCCCTAACACGAGGATCTCGTTTAGGGTCGTCCCCAACGCCAGTGTCAGAGTTTTCCCAAACCTTTTGACCAGGTCCTTCACCATCTTTGCAATCGCAGTCTCGATCCTAACGCTATCACGTCAATCGCCCTTCCGGTATCATGCGATGTGGTTTGAGTTCGTGTCGAAACCTCCACCATACTTTCCAGGAACTTGAGCAACAACTCGTCCTTGGACACATCCTTGACCACCACGGTATCCTTCTACTATTTCTGCGGCTTGTCTGTCGAAGTAGTCATCTTCAGGAACCCCACGACAACTAGGTTTGATACCACTGTAAAAAATACGGATCTAGGCATGTACGTCTAGGGTTCATAGATTAGGGATTTGATAGAGAATTGAGAATTGCGGTGCGAATTAGGGATTTGATAAGGGGAGAAAGAGAGAAGTTGGGATGAGGAAGCAGAAGTCGGTCTCCAAGAGGAAAGGGAGGCAAGCGAAACAAGGGGGAAGAGAGAGAGAGGGGGAGTTTGGCTAGGGACAGAGAGGGAGATGTCTTGGTTTAGTGAATTATTGTTCTGTTATTGCTTAACAAGAAAAACCCCACTAACACATAATATATAATCCAATAAATTCCTTATAACTATCCACAATAATTAATCCTAACAAAATACTCCCAAATAACCCCCAAAACCTACAAATAACATCCAAATACCCAAACAATAATAAAGCGACAAATAAGTCCAAAATTGTATTCGTGGTAAATACATAGTTTCTAACAAAAATTAACAACAATATAACCATGTGTTAAACACAAGGAAACTGCATCGCGTAATGCTAATAATTCAATCAAGAACAAGTCAGTATTACCTTGATAATGTTTACAGAATGCAAACAATAGAGTCCCAGTAGCAGAGAACCCAACAAATCCAATATCTCCAACGCTTCCCGGGTGCCATGCCCATCAAAACGAACCAAAATCCCACCTTGTGGGCAAGAGCCATCATGAGATTCAGATTACAAAGTGCCATGCCCGTAGATCCCTCGACAAGAAGATGTTCGTTGTGGTGAAGAGCCATTGGAGTGGAAGCTGCTCGCCATTCCTCTGATTGGGCATCGTATTGCAGAAGTAGAGCACAACCATTCTGAGCATACTGGGCATGTATCGTCAATAATCAATCATTTAACCACTAGAACGGCTCAGACCGGTAGAAACCCCCTCACCATCCTTCAAAACAAAACTTAACTTGGGAGGCAAGGGAAGGTTTCACAAGCATTTCAAGAACAGAACATCATTAGGCAAACGAGGTAGAGGGTGGGAGCAATTAAGTTCCGAAGAGAGTAATCGATACCCAATCTTGACTGCATAATCACCAGAAGGAGAATAATGTCATCTTATACTTAAAATATTTAATCATAAAAAACATAAATAAAATTCTTGCTCTCCCAATTCAGGAAGACGGAAATCGCCGATTGGGTTAGTCCAACCAAGAAAGACATGGGATTTTCCTACGTCTATTGACCTTTGTCTACAAGACCATTCCTTTCCACCCGCTCGCCGCATCACAACCCATAACCAGCTCCAAAATCCACATCTCAAAATTCACCATCGTCAAGCCCTTTTGAACTTACCGGCGACAAATTGTCGAAGAATCTCGTATCACCGTCCCAAGTGTTGGAAGAGGAAGAAGTGCCTGAGATAGGTGGCGATGAGTGCAATTAGCAGACGGAGCGATGGACTTGGGCTTGGCGATGGCGATGGCGATAAGGATAAGCCAAATCGACCGCTACTGCCAGATGCAGAATAGTCTTCATGGGCCGACAGAGTTCCCTAGTTGCCTCGACCTTGACTTAGGGATATTTTGCGTATTTTATCCAAAGTGACTATTGTTGACAATAATGCGAAAGTTGTGGCTATAAAGGTATGTTTTGCCTAATAATAATGTATATAACAGTAATAATCAGCAATAAGGAACAACTTTGCCATTCACGTCCACCAAAATCAAAATCCCTAACATCCATGATCCATCCAATAAACAAAACTGGTAGACAACGGATAAAGCACAACTCAAACAAACAAACTACCCCAAATTTACTGGGACACACCGAGCCATTTGGAGAAGATCTCGAACTCTGTGTAATCACTCTCAGAAATCATCGTTTGGTACCAGGCCTTCCCAGCAGCCTTGATAGCAGATGCCTCCTCCTGCCCAAGTCAACCCCAAAGTGACAAACCCAGAAACAGATGAGCAATTACTGAGGTTCAGAAACACACAATCGTAACAATGTATAAATGAAAGCATACATAGTTCTTATATCATATGCACTTTTGATTTTGGTAATGTGGGATATAGCAATACCCGCTAACTCATTAACTTAATGATGAGGAGGTTTATACAAACACAACAATTTCAAACCCAAACCAGATCAAGTGCAAGCCAAAATGTGGGGAACAGAAGACAACAAATGCAAAGAACAAGCTTTGACATCACCAGCAGATCAAACTGTAACCAATACAGGGCAATAGCAGTACACTGGTTCAAGAAATTCTTCCAATCCAACCTTAATGAAACCCTAGACCAGGATCAACTTAAACAGCTGATTGAGAATTCCAAACTGCTAACCCAAACACAAAAAAACATATCCAATACCTAGATCCAGCAAAAGAAAAGATCGACCCTACTACCATCCTGCAACAAAAAAGACTGGTAGATTGCACACATTATGAACAGGGCATTGTTAAAAGTCATACTCACTACATACCTAGATCCTATTGGATTAGATTAACAATGTGGAGAAAGCAATTACATGTAACCAAGCCTTTAACCCATACAACAATAAAGGAATAATAGACTAAGAGAAAGTGATCATATACCTTGCTGATGGGAGTCCTCTTCTTGTCGAGCTTCTCCTTCTTGGCCTTCACGCGTTGGGCCTCAGCCAATAAGGACATCCTCCTAGCGGTCTTGGCATACGGGTTCAACTTGAGCATAACATTCAAGTTCTTCAAAGGATTCTTCTTCAATGGTGCTCTCTTAACTTCCTTCTTGATTGGCTTCACCACAGACTGAACCTCATCAGAGTTGATAATCCTAGCCAAATCAGCATTCACCATCTTAGCCCTAGGCAGCACATAACCATTCTTCTTCTCAGCAGGCTTGTCGAAGGAGCCGTAGATGGAGTCAAGCTTCTCAAAAGCCGACTTAGTCCAGATGACAAATCGACCCAAGTGGCCACCAGGGGCAAGCTTCAAAAGATTCAGACGATCCACATTGGCCACTTCCACTCCAGGAATGTTGCGGAAGGCCTTCACCAGCTTAGCGCCTTCAGTTCCATACACAACCAAAGGTCCCTTGCGAGAAATATACCTCCTGTTCCTCATCTTACCTTTTCCAGGACGAATCCCCACGCTGTCCTTCGCCTTCTCAGCATCAGCATAAGCTCCGATCTCCTTCAGCAGCTTGATGGCCGTGGATGTCTTCTCGACCCCCTCGGCAGAGTCGTTAATCACCAGGGGCAGCTCGGGGACAGTGTCGATCCGGTGGCCGCGAGCCATCACCAGAGAAGGGATTGCGGAGGCGGCGATGGCGGAAACGACGGCGTACCTCTTCTGGTTGACGTTGATCCTCCGGTGCCAGCGGCGCCAGATCTTGGTCGGAGCGAACATGCGACCGCCTCGACACATGTTTCCGAAGGCTCCCTGACCGGCGCGGTGAGTTCCTCCACCGGGAACACGGGGGATACGAGAGACAGCACGGCCGGTACCCCAGGACTCGGCGGAGGTCTGGTGGCCGGCCTTCTTGGAGACGGCGTAGGGTTGCCGGCTGTTCTTCGACATGTTGGAGTGAACAAAGTTCACGACGTCGGGTCTGATAGAGGCCCTCATGACGTCGGGTAGAGGAACGGTGGCCGGAGAATCGGCGGCCATATCGTTCATTGAAGGTAGGGCTTGGACGGAGACGAGGGGACGGGCGGCGGCGGCGGCCATTTTCTGGTTTGGCGAAGGAGTGTTACTCTGCGGAATTGCTACTTCCTCTAGGGTTTTGGAAGGCAGGGTTGAATGGAAGCGTTGGAATTTATACTGGGACTTTTCTGGATCCCTTTCTCTCATCTAGGTCCAAACCATACCAGTTCGTGAAAAAATGGCCCGCAAAGGATATAGACCCTTTAGTTCTGTCCATTATGCTAGGCCCAAATCTAACTTCCATTTTATGAAGGGTTTAATCTTTCGCATTATGGGATTCAAAACGCTGTGCAGGGTAAACTCTCATCCTTTTATTTTTATTTTTATTTTTATATATATATATTTTATGTTTTATATTAATAACTAGTTCTATGGGGCTTGAATACCGTTACAAACCCCGCCTACAAAATCCCGTCATATCATCATATCATGCATCGTTCGTACGGCCTTGTACCTTATCCGCTCATGTTCTATGGCTAAGCCAATTTATTGGTCAACGGACTAAGTGATTAGCAATCACTAGATCCCACAAGGTAGCCAAGTCATAGGCACAATATCTCTTTTGATTTGCGGCATAACCCATGAAACGCACGCGTGACCACAATCGTCAAATTTACCCAAATGATGATGGGTGTTCTTGCAGTAAACAAGACAACCCATGACACGTAAATGATCATAACTAGTAGATTTCCCAAATATTTCTTCATAAAGGGCTTTGCTCGTGGCCTTCGTAGACAACTTGTTAATCAAATAGGTCGCGGTGAGAATACAATTGCCCCTAGAAAATGGATTGGGAGAGACGCCTTAAACGTGAGAGCCCAGGCTATTTCAAGGAGGTGGCGATGCTTATGCTCCACGATGCCATTTTGTTGATATGTGTCTATGCACGTCATTAGAAGTAGAATCCCTGTTTGTTCATAGCTCGCAGTAGTGTCATATTGATTTCAGCTTGTTATCTGCCTCAATCCGCTTAACATCTTTACCAAACTGAGTACGAACAAGCTGACAGAATAACTTAATGTAGTGACCAACCTTAGACTTGAACAAAATAAGATAAACCCTAACACCCCGATTAAAATCATCAACAATGGTGAGAAAATGATGAGATCTATGTTCCCCAAATACCCATGTGCAACAATTCAAATCAAGAACTGGTCTGAATCGAGCTAATAGGAAAAGGTGTATGAACTTGTTTTGCTCTATAACAAAAATGACAAAGTTCATTTGAAGAACGAGATGAAAAAAAAAGATACTTCCCAAGCCGGGACATGACTGTGGTTGAAAGATGGCCCAAACGCGCATGCCAACTGGTCTCTAGCATTCCACACTTCTTCGACACCGCATTAGCCTGTGCTTGCAGACACCCAAACAACCTCAGATACTACAACCCATCGCGGATCTCCCCCTTCTCAATCACGCTCTTGGAGAGTAAGTCCTATATCACGCAAAAATCACCAAGGAAAATTAGAGCAACACGATGCTCTTGACATAGTTGGCTCACGGATAATAGATTGCATTTAAATTATGGAACATGCAAGACACGACTCAACCTCAACCCTTCATTGAGTTGCACCGAACCAACACGTGTGAACGAGAATACTTTGTCTGTTTGGAATGAGAACCGACTGACAATAACATGAGTTGAGTGTGACTAAGAGGGACCCATCCATAATGATGTGTTCATTGCAGCCCAAGTCTATTAGCCATTCGAGTTCAAGAGTAAAAGAAGACGTAACGGTCATGTTACTCGTAGGATCAGAAGCTGCTTGACTTGCTCCTGAGAAGAAGCATTTCAGCTTATCAAGTTGCTGCAAGGTAAAGCCAGTGACTGGACTCAAATCTGCTCGAGGCTCTTGAGCTTGACCATTATCACGCATGGCATCCCGACCAAATTAATCAATATAACATCACACTATCATTAAGTGAGTTTTTTCCCGGTTAATGCGTCAATTCGCAAATGATAAATACACGCAACTAATACAATTATCTTACAGTCAATAGAAATATTCACTTAACAAAAATATATGTCAACGTTATGATGTTAATGAAGTGTTGTATTTGTGTGAATTGACTCAGTCTCTTAGCAATTATCATAGGATGAAAAAGACATTCCTTTCATGTTTTCATTCAACATAATGTATGAATTTATCTAAATTAAGCACCCATATGTTGTGGTCTACACTCTACAATTACAAATATACAACATATGAACAATATTAAGTTTTAATTTTTATAAGTCTAAAAGGGAGGAAAATTTGACTCTTGAGTGGTTATGCAAATTATTAAGTACGTGTATATAATATATATTAGATATATGACTAATTACTTAACTGGTTAATTTGGTTTGACTGGTTAGGAGTGTCTAAAACCAAACAAGCTAAAATGTTTAATCAAACCAAACCAATTATCCATATTAACCAAACCAAATTATAAAAATACTATCGGTTAAAACTATTACCACGATAACCACTCCGTTTAAACACCCTTAATGCGTTCCCAACTACACCAAATCATCTATCTAAACGATTTGATTTCACTCATCCAATTAAATTTCGATCTAATATGTGGTGCGGTGCAAATGACATGCTTTCAAGTGCGGTGCGGTAACTTGCCCACCCTTAGGTCCGTCCGAGGAAGACGGAGAGGCCTCAGACGTGTCCGTGGGCAGGAGAGACGACGTGGAAGAATGAGAGGTGAAAGAGCACCGCTCGTACACATTTGAATGGATAAGACACGGTTGTTTGTGGTGGCTGGCGGCGTCCAAATTCCCCCGGTCCGCTTGCCGCTCGCTATGCTTCCTTTTTCTAATCTTCCGTCAGTCATTTTATAGCTTGAGAAAAGCCGGTGGGGAAATCACTCACCGGAATCAATTTTTTCTTCTTCTTCTTCTTCCGGTTCGTGTATGCAGCAAGAGAAATGAATATTCAAGCTCGACTCCGATCCATCATCACCGATCCCTCCCTTCGCTCCTCGTCTCCGTCTCCATCTCCATCTCCATCTCCTCATTCCCACCACCATTGTTATCAATCTTCCAGCCGCCGGTGCTCTCTTTTCGCTCCACCTCACTGCTCCAGAAGCCCCCCTCCACCACCTCAAAACGGCGACGGTCCGGGTAAGCGCACTCCTCTCTTTGTTTCCTCATTCTTCAATTTGGGTTTGTGTTTGGGTCGTCATTTGGGCGATTCTTCTGCTCCGCTCGTGGATAGAACAGAAAACAGAATTCTCGCCATTAAAGTAGGAAGAAACCCACTTCAGCCACTCTTCAGGGGCGCTTTGAATTTGGGTGATCCAGTGAAGTTTGTCAACTGGGCTGGTCTGAAATTCGACTAATTCCACTGCAAAAAGAGTGTTCAGATTGTCCCTTCGCCCTTCTGATTGCTGTTGAAAATGCCCAGCCATTAGATTGATAGGTAGCTTTGATAAGCAAATCCTGTTTTCGGGAAACGTTGTCTTCTGATCTTTTCCCAAGTTTCCCCAATTCGAAATGCTTGACACGACTCCTTACTTCTGACTAGATTGGAATCCTTTCTATAAAACTAGGTGATAAATCCTCGACCGACTGGGACAAGGCGTGGTCCAAGTTCAAGAAGCAGGGGAAGAAAACCTTGTTCTCACAGTTCTCCCCAAACAAGTATGTGACGTGGAACCCCAAGCCTTCAGACTACCCGCTGTCGGAAGAGGTCGATCCCATCAAGAGAACTGAGAGGTCGAACCTCAGGCTGTGGACGAGTCCAAGGTTCACCCTCGTTGGTGCCATTGTCATAGTTTCCTTCCTTCTCATCTACACCATTCTTGCGCCACTCAAGTGACTTGACTTGACTTGATCCAGCCAATATTGTTTTCGTGCGCTCAAAGGAGGGGGGAGAAGAAGCACTATCCAGAACAGGGGGATTTGTAAATCATACCATAATGTAAATGCGAGGATTCAAAGCAGTTTAGCTAGCTGGCTAGCTACTGTGTAATCTCTTACTGTTCTCTGTGTTGATTGGACAATGTAAGGCTTTGATTAAGCGTATTCAGCTACTGCCGTCAATATGTGTTTTTTTTTTTTTTTACAAAGGATTTACTTGTATTGCTCTTTGAAAGAAAGGTTACAAGGCCAGCCAATAAAGGAACCAAAAAGGATCAAGGCCAGACAAACTCAAGCACACGAATGAACAATCTGTGTTTAAGAAATACAACAAGGAAAGCAAAACACAGAAAAGATCAAACCAAAAAATCTGCAACACTTGAATCAGATCCAGAAGCCACCAAAAGCTCTCTTGCAAACAAATCAATCAAAGAGCACCAAGCACAATCAGCTCGTCCGATCCGACCAAGTCCACGACAATTGAAAACAACGCCAAAGGCCGCCTCCTGGGAGTCGCTCGAAGACGCTCAACACAGTGAATCTCTTGTGAGGGATTACATGGCGGTGGAAATGGTAGAGGATCGAAATGCTCCGAGCTGAAAAAGCAGAGGGAGACCAGGCACCAAGAACTTGGTCAAGGGAGAAGAGGAACCCAAACTCCAAAATCCAAGATCTGAAACCGCAGCTAGAAGGGCCAGACACCGCCTTCCTACCACCGACGCCGACCAAGAGGCAGAGGACTACCAACAGGGGGAACGGAGGGGAAATCGATGAATCGATTCCCCATGCATGTTGATGAACCCACCATCTAAAGAGGAGGAGACCCCTAGATGCTTAACCCAGCCCCAAGGAGAGCAAATCCAGAAAAGGAACCCTAGAACAGGGCAACGAAAGGCCAAAAGGCAAGAGAAGCTAAACAGCAGGAAAATGCGATTGAAGAAGGCGAAACCAGGTACAAGGAAGCACGAAAAAAAAGCAAGGAAAAGGAAAGAGCATTGGGCTACCGCCGATCACCAAGAGGTGCCGGCGGCAGCCCCTGTAAAACCCTAAACAGAGGCGCTGGAGAAGAGAGAAGGCAGAGCACAAATTTGAAATAAAGTAAGGAGAGAGAGAGTCTCTGTCAATATGTGGTTCGAGACCTCGATTAGGACTGAAAATTGGCATGTCGCTTCCCTGATCCTGTCTGACCTGATCTGAAGGGTCAAGATGTACAACTGTCCCATCTCGTCTCTGTCTCCTTATTGATTCTGTCCGACTCTCAAGGGATGAGACGGGTCGGGTTAGTGGGTCGACCCTAATTTACATACCATTTTTTTTTACAAATTACGTTTTGGTATCCCAAAATTATTTTTTCTTACAATTATTGATTTGCAGGTCTTCCACGTGTGTCGGGTATATGGACTATGGTTGGCTTGGTATAGGTATCATGAAAGTATCCAATCCACCAATTTAATACAATCCATCCTATTAAATATCTAATTAATCCAATCAATTCAAATACAATCCATTTGATCCAAATCCAATTGGATTGGTGGATTCATGTATCGTTAGCAAATTACAGTTTGTATGTATATTTTCATATATTACAATTTGATACCTAAAATATACTTTTTAATGGAAAATATTATTGAAAATTTATGTTTTGGTCCCTAAATTTTTATTATTATGACATTTTAGTACCTAAACTTTTTGAAATTAACATATTGATCCAATGTTTAGATGTCACATGAATTCATGATAAAATCCACCAATCCAAATGATAATATCGATGAATCCACCAATACATTTGATTCATGGATCCACCAATCAAATCCACTAATCCATTTGCCACCTCTACTTCCATACCAATCAGAAATTCTATTTCAGAAAGAGAAAAGGCGGAAGATGAAGACTGAACATAACGAGGAAGACGATAGAGCAAAAGACTCGTCGATGTCTTCAATTAATTTGGGAGAAGTACTTGGGCATTTGGTAAGACTTAAGAGGTTGGCCTCAAAACTGAAACAGAAAGGACTAGGCTTAAGATACCTAGTAGACGAACTTAAATAACAATTTGTAAGAGTTGATTGTCATCGTCAACTCCACAATATTGCTCTTGTACCCGTGCTTTGTTTACCCAGACCTTAAGCAATGAAATAAGACGAAATTTTAAAAATAGAGCCACACCAGCAGAAATAATCAAGGATTTTTAACGTAGTTCGCAATCTACAGATACTCGACTTCCTAGAAATAGTATTGACTATTTTGGGAGACTCTTTTTAATATTTTCTTCCTATCAATCAAGATCAAAAGCTAAAGACAATATTGCAAGACTCAAATGCAATGAAACCTAAATAAGTAAACCCGGACCCCCAAGCCAGACCTGTTACAACCTCAGCAAAATCAGATAATCATAATCTGCCTCTGATTCTTGAGCTCCTTTGCAAAGGCAAAGCCCTCTACCACTTTTCAACACAAAATTGCACTCGTCCCCTTATCTATGATGAATATATAGGAGGAATGTAGCCTTTAGAAGGCACATGAATTCAAAACAATAGAAGCTCAACAATTTTAAACAATATTTGCCCCGTTGTCATCGATATCGACATCCTCGTCATCTGATGATAAATGTGCAAGATCGATCTCCCCCTCAATCGCAAGCTCTAGTTCTTGGATGATTTTTTTCCAAGAAAAGAAGAGAGAAGGTTCAATAGTGCGAAATGCAGACAGAAAATGTCATGACAAAGTAGGAGACGAGAAAACTGTCAAACAATAAGGGTCCAGAAAAAGTGACATCTCCAAAAGTTAGAAAAGTGCCTAACAGAAGGTGTGAGAAGTTGAGCGGTACGTTGGTAGTGGCATAAGCCAGGACCATTGACTAAAGGGAGTACTCTATCTAGATCTTCAAAACGAGGAGGAAACACTATGGTAAGAACATAGTGGAAATCACAAAGCCAAGTTTGAAGAAGATTCACACGAACAAAGTAAGTAGATGATGGATGATGGCCAGTGATACGAGCAAATTTTGAAAGGAATGTTAAAATCGTACTGCCATAGCTCAGGCCTCTGAATGATGTGACAGAGATTCTCCGATGGGGGGATTATCAAGAAAATGACCTAAATCATATACTGAAATAGTGAACATGGTTCCTACCACGATACCCTTTTATACTACATGGTATGCTCTTATGTAATATCAAACAATACTACCATTATATAGACTGATACTAAATGCCTCAAAAAAATTTATTCCAAAAATATATCAAAGTGAACATCATTTTGAGTAGCACAATTTTTCTGATTTATCTGTGGAAAAAAAATTCCATTCACAACATAAGAGAAGTGGCACTGAGATAGTAGATTATTCATAATTGTGCACCACAAAGTTACGCACCACTCTCCATTCCCCCAAATCTGCAGGGATTTAGCATCACTGATTTCGTTCTACATATCATGCCTACCATTTGAGAGGGGAAGAAAGAACATGTTCTTGCCTTCTTGGTCGAAGGTCGTTTTAACTGGATCTGGAAGTCTGGAACACCATTATATCTATCCACATAGAAAGAGCAACACTACTACCTTAATTGTCAAACTTTCGTGGAAACACGTGAAGTATGTCTGCCGTGGAGGGCACAGAAAGATCCTTAAGTCGCTCTCACTTAGGGACAAACTCAATCAAAGAATAGTTAGTTGTTTGATATAGGTAACATAGTTGATGAGATTGTTTTGCGAGGCAGACTGTAGTGCAAGCATGCGGGTAGACCTTGACTTCCAAAAAGAAATATTCTTTGTAGCTCTCTTGTTTGTTCTCGCTTACCAAATCCAAGCTATGACTTACAATTCCCTGTTCTTGTCTCTGTTTTTCTGGGTCCTGAGATGTAGCTCCACTACAACACGGTGAAAACAGACGTACAAGACAGGATAATGGTTTCAAACAATATGATAAGTCAGACTTTTCTTATTCCAGGCCTAAAATATGTTGAAAATGAACAGGTCTATCAACAATCTATAGAGTTGTTAGCTTAACGATAAGTAAAAAATCAGTTAATTCCAATAAATCGAGTTATTGGGAGAGGTTCAATCATGGATCCTGTACCACTCACTAACAATAAATACCAAAATACTAAGGGTTTTGAACATAATAGCTAATTGATAACTTGAACAAGTTATCTAAAAAAACAAATCAGTTCTGATAGCACGTCATAAACCAACATTTAATAACTCGAATCGTTGGAATTCATGTATGGTATTCAACCACTTCTTTACAGATCATGAGTTCATTATCATGTTCATGTTCTTTCCTCCTATCATCTGGAATTGGTCCACATCCATCACTGTCATCAAGAGACAACAATCAAAACCCAAAAAGCTATTAGGTCACTCTGTTTCCTTTTAATCTTTCTGCCAATGAACTCTTCCGTTCACTTTAATGTAAGCCTTTATGCAACAAATTGTGACCCAAGAATCACGTCAATGCTCCTCGGACCTCAGTCCTTACCACTACAGGACTCTGATTCCAACTCTTCGGCATCCCATTGTTGTGTATAAATAAAACCTCCCTCCCTCCCTCAGCATCCCACATTTTCTCTGTATACGCATACTTTGATAGAAAACAGAGGAAAGCAGAGTCATCATTTTTTATTTGCCACACCTTTTTGTAAATTGCAATGGCCCTTTCCTTCATTCCCCAGATAGCAGCTGAAACCCACAAGAGGAAAAGAGCCTGCAGGTTACCTCCAAGGAGAGGCCAAATCAAAGCAACGATGTTATCCAAGTTCCTGGATTGGGTAGCTAGCTTCAGAAGCAGCAATGGGTCAGGGAAGTGAAAAATGCAGCAATGGCTCTGTCGTCTCAATCATTGGCTGAAGAAGCTCTGTGATTCTGTTCAGGCCATTGGAACGTCATCTCCTTCTCTCCCTTTCTACTTTCAGTTTGACATATTAATCGGTGTGAGAATGGAAGTTTGCATTGCCACCTGGTGGTCCTTGCATCCCTGCTCATCAACTAGTAATTAATGTCGCAGTTGGATTTTCTTAATCTAATTAAGTCTGAGATTTCCATGCAAAGCTACTAAGCTAGCGTCTGTTTGGTCTTCCTAGCCTGCATGGCTAGTGCATTTCCAGTTGTCGTAACAAAGCAGAGAACCAGAAACTCGAATGGAAAACACAAGAAATTGAGAGAATGGAAACTAGGCAATTAATTTGTCTGTCTTG